TGTGAGTGTGGCTTTAGCTTAATGAACACTCTAAAAAACAAACTACATAATCATTTACAAGTAGATCATTTGGACATGCTGATGTGTATTAAGAGTTACCAGCTGGATGGAGGACAGATAGATCTGGACAGAGTTTATATTGAATGGGCAAATGAAAAAGATCACAGGGAAAAACAGTAAAGTTAGTTTAGCAGTCTTTGATATTTTGACCAATAAGGAAATTAAAATGCATTTGTAATTACATTTCTTATTCTTGGCTGATAATCATTTATTGATATTTTTTAGGAAAATTTTAAATTTAAAACACAAACTTTTGTTTTTCTTTTCTTTCTTTTTTTTTTTTTTACTTATGATGTCTCTATCTGAACACCCATATAAATTGACACAAATTGCAAATTAAAACTTTTTAAATGTATAAGCATTTTACTCGCTTGGGCGCATTTGCCTCATGGCACACAAATTTGAACTCTGCTTCAAAAATTTGCACAGAAGAAATTTTTTGCACACATGGCCTGTCAAAAATTAGAGGGAACATTGACTGGAAGATAGCTTAATGTGATGCCAATTTTTAAGAGAGACTCCTGAGGCTATCTTGGCAATTATAAACTGGTAAGCCTAACTTCAATACCAGGCAAATTGGTTTAAAACTATAGTAAAGAACAGAATTTGCAGACACATAGATGAATTCAATTTGTAGGGAAGAGTCAATGCAGCTTTTGTAAAGGAAAATCATGCCTCACAATGTATTAGAATTGTTTGAGGGGGTCAACAAATAAGTGCACAAAGTCTGATCCAGTGGATATCATTTATTTGGACTTTCAGAAAGCCTTTGACAAGGTTCTTAAGCAAAGTAAGCAGTCATGGGATAAGACGGAAGGTCCTCTCATGGATTAGTAACTAGTTAAAAGATAGGGTAGGAATAAATGGTCAGTTTTCAGAATGAAAAGAGGTAAATAGTGGTGTCCTGCAGGGATCTGCACTGGTGAGGCCACACGCAGAGTATTGTGTCCAGTTTCAGGGCCCCCACTACAGAAAGGATATGGACAAATTGCAGAGAGTCCAGCTGAGGGCAATGAAAACGATTAGGGCTGGGGCACATGATTTATGAGGAGAGATTGAGGGAACTGGGCTTATTAAGTCTGCTGAAGAGAAGGGTGAGCGGGGGATTTGATAGCAGCCTTCAACTACCTGAAGGGGTGGGGGGGTCAAAAGAGGATGGAGCAAGGCTGTTCTCAGTGGTGGCAGATGACAGAACAAGGAGCAATGGTCTCAAGTTGCAGTGGGGGAGGTCTTAGTTGGATATTAGGAAAAACTATTTTGTGTCAAACCAACCTGATAGCTTTCTTTGACAGGGTAAAAAGCCTTGTGGATGGGGTGTACATGTGGTAGATGTGGTATATCTTGACTTTAGTAAGGCTTTTGATACTGTCTTCTCATAAACAAACTAGGGAAATATAACCTAGATGGAGCTACTATAAGGTGGGTGCATAACTGGTTGTAAAATCATTCCAAGAGAGTAGTTATCAGTGGTTCACAGTCATGCTGGAAGGACATAACGAGTGGGGTCCCACAGGGATCGGTTCTGGGTTTGGTTCTGTTCAATATCTTCATCAAGATATTTAGATAATGGCATAGAGAGTACACTTATAAAGTTTGTGGACAATACCAAGCTGGGAGGGGTTGCAAGTGCTTTGGAGGATAGGATTAAAATTCAAAATGATCTGGACAAACTGGAGAAATGGTCTGAAGTAAATATGATGAAATTCAATAAGGACAAATTCAAAGTACTCCACTTAGGAAGGAACAATCAGTTGCCCACATACAAAATGGGAAATGACTGCCTAGGAAGGAGTACTGCAGAAAGGGATCCAGGGGTCACAGTGGATCACAAGCTAAATATGAGTCAAGAGTGTAATGCTGTTGCAAAAAAAGTGAACATCATTCTAGGATGTATTAGCAGGAGTATTGTAAGCAAGACACAAGAAGTAATTCCTCCATTCTACTCCACGCTGATTAGGCCTCAACTGGAATGTTGTGTCCAGTTCTGGGTGACACATTTCAGGAAAGATGTGGACAAATTGGAGAAAGTCCAGAGAAGAGCGACAAAAATGATTAAAGGTCTAGAAAACATGACCTATGACGGAAGATTGAAAAAATTGGGTTTGTTTAGTCTGGAGAAGAGAAGACTGAGAGGGGACATGATAACAGTTTTCAAGTACATAAAAGGTTGTTACAAGGAGGAGGGAGAAAAAATGTTCTTGTTAACCTGTGAGGATAGGACAAGAAGCAATGGATTTAAATTGCAGCAAGGGCAGTTTAAGTTGGACATTAGGAAAAACTTCCTAACAGTCAGAAAAAAAAAAGGAGTACTTGTGGCACCTTAGAGACTAACCAATTTATTTGAGCATGAGCTTTCGTGAGCTACAGCTCACTTCATCGGATGCATAAGGGTGAGAAAACCTGGATTTGTGCTGGAAATGGCCCAACTTGATGATCACTTTAGATAAGCTATTACCAGCAGGACAGTGGGGTGGGAGGAGGTATTGTTTCATGGTCTCTGTGTGTATATAATGTCTTCTGCAGTTTCCACGGTATGCATCCGATGAAGTGAGCTGTAGCTCACGAAAGCTCATGCTCAAATAAATTGGTTAGTCTCTAAGGTGCCACAAGTACTCCTTTTTTTTTGCGAATACAGACTAACACGGCTGTTACTCTGAAACCTAACAGTCAGAGTGGTTAAGCACTGGAATAAATTGCCTTGGGAGGTTGTGGAATCTCCATCCTTGGGGATTTTTAAGAGACGGTTAGACAAACACCTGTCAGGGATGGTCTAGATAATACTTAGTTCTGCCTTGAGTGCAGGGGACTGGACGAGATGACCTCTCGAGGTCCCTTCCAGTTCTATGATTCTATGAAGCACTGGAATGGGTTACCTAGGGAGGTGGCGGAATCTTCATCCTTAGAGGTTTTTAAGGTCCAGCTTGACAAAGCCCTGGCTGGGATGATTTAGTTGGCGTTGGTCCTGCTTTGAGCAAGGGGTTGACGACATGACCTCCTGAGGTCTCCTCAAACCCTAATCTTCTATGATTCTATGGTGTGGAGTGGGACCAGTACTGTTCAACATATTCATAAATGATCTCAAAAAAGGGGTAAATAGTGAGGTGGGAAAATTTGCAGACAATACAAAGTTACTCAAGATAGGTAAATCCAAGGGGATCTCACAAAATCCAAGGGGATCTGAGCAACAAAATGGCAGATGAAATTCCATGTTAATAAATGCAAATTAATGCACTTTGGAAAACGTAATCCCAACTATACATACAAAATGATGGGGTCTAAATTAGCTGTTACCACTCAAGAAAGATCTTGGAGTGATTGTGGATAGTTCTCTGAAAACATCCGCTCAGTGTGCAGCAGCAGTCTAAAAAACTAACAGAATATTAGGAACCATTAGGAAAGGGACAGATAATAAGACAGTAAATATATTTCCTCTATTTAAATCCATGTATGCCCACACTTTCAATACTATGTGCAGTTCTGGTTGCCACATCACAAAAAAAGATATATTAGAATTGGAAAAGGTACAGAGAAGGGCAACAAAAATGATTAAGGGTATGGAACAGCTCCCACACGAGGAAAGATTAAAAAGACTGACTCTTCAATTTGGAAAAGACACAACTAAGGGGGGATCTGATAGAGGTCTATAAAATCACAAAGGTCGTGGAGAAAGTGAATATGGAAGTGTTATTTACTCCTTCACATAACACAAGCACCAGGTGTCATCCAATGAAATTAATAGACAGCAGGTTCAAAACAAACAAAAGAAAGTACTCTGCGCGCAACACACAGTCAAACCTGTGGAACTCATTGCCGGGGGACATTGTGAAGGCCAAAACTATAACTGGGTTCAAAAAAGATTTAGATAAATTCATGGAGGACAGATCCACTAAGGGCTATTAGCCAAAATGGTCAGGGATGCAACCCCATGCTCTGGGAGTCCCTTGCCTCTGATTGCCAGAAGCTGAGAGTGGATCACAGGGGATAGATCCCTCAATAATTGCACTGTTCTGTTCATTCTGTCTGAAGTATGTGGCATTGGCCACTGTTGGAAGACAGGATACTGGGTTAGTTGTACCACTGGTCTGAAGGCTTTTCTTATGTTCTAACACTGTGTGCTTTTTTATCAAAGTACTCAGGGCCATGCCCAGCTGCCATTACTCAGGCAAAACTCCCAATGAATTCTGGGTAAAGACTGTAGGATCAGCCCCTCAAATTTTGAGGGAGGGTGGTATTGTTTATTCAGTTCTAGAGATGAGCCACAGATACAAATTTCAGAACTGAACTGCTCCAAAATTCAAGGAGTTTGGGCTCAACTGCTCTATCCATCTGATAAAGAAGGAGACCTGCTGCATGTTGTGTAGCATACCAAACAGATTTAAAATTACATAACATGCACCAGGGGCTTTACTTTAAGAATAAACTAGCCCCCTAGTCTGCAAGGCTGTCTCTACAAGTTAGTTCAAGATGCCTGTTATAAAATGAACAATAAACTCCAGGCTCTCACTTTGAGGATCTATAGTGGTTCTTTTCCTTCTTCATTGCTTCTTTAAATAAAGTAAAAGTAGTCCACATCAAAAGTACAGATTTGCTCTGACTATGGCTCAGTCTGAACTGGAAAGAGCTCACGAAAGCTTATGCTTAAGTGTATGCTCAAATAAATTTGTTAGTCTCTAAGGTGCCACAAGTACTCCTTTTCTTTTTGCGAATACAGACGAACATGGCTGCTACTCTGAAACCAACAGTTCAAGTGGGTTTGGATACGATGTTGCCATGAGAAGCCATACTTGCTTAAGTATACAAATAACTGATCACCATAAACGTTATTAGTAAGCTGGAAAGGATAAAGGCACTAATTCAGGAAAGCATTTAATTATATGCGTAAGTGCTTTGCTGAATCAGAGCCACAATGAGGAGCTACATAGTAAGCCAGCTATACTAACCTTTTCTCTGCTCACTCCTTGCAAAACAATAGCACCAGAACCAGCTTCTGGTTTTAGAATTTCCTGGGCTACTGTAGTGGTGTCACTTTCATGTTGATTTCCAGCATTTGTTGAACCTTAAATAAAATAAAATAAAATAAAATAAGAGAAAACACACTAGAAGACATTTATCAGGGAAGAGAGCAAACATACAGTAAGGCAAAAGAAAGAAAATAATTGGTATTTGACAAAAATACACAAACAGAAGATGAAACTGCGAAAGAAGAAGAGAAACCCCCAAAACTCAAGGCAAAAATAAAATCTTTCTGTAATAGAGAAGGATGGAATTAAATAAAACCATTTAGTTATTTCAAAAACTTTGAAAGATGGTCAGGGGAATTTTTTTTTTTAAAGTGCAAAAAGAGCGACGATAGCTACAAAAGAGAGGATATACTGTAGGAATGGGTGAGATAAGGAGAGTGCATTGGATGATCTTCTTGCTTCAACCCTTTGCCGTCCCACTGCCTAACTTTCAACTGTGCAGATTTAAAAATGAGGGATGTGCCCTGCAAGGTTTGTTTGAGGAGCCGTTGGCTTAAGAGTGAGGTAATTAGTTATGCAGTATCCTCTTTGGCCTTACTCCTATTGCTGACCCCTGCTCTAGTAATGTGTTTGTGTGCTGCAATTTTCTCACTATTGGAGAACTGGGTTCCTCTGTGCTTCGTGCCCTGCTTAGCACTTTGTGCTTTGGCACTTACACATAAAATGTTCCATGCCTGCGCTACATAGGATCAAGTACTCTATACACATCGGGAAAATGGTGCCTCACATTTTAGATTTTGTACCCCTCCCAGTTTCTCACTTTTCATCACCATGACCATCCAATGAATGACAGTTAAGTGACCCTGTTGCTAAGACAGTAGGCTGGAGCTCAAGAGGTCTGGGTTCAATTCTTGGCTCTGTCACAGACTTCTTGTTTGACCTTAACCAGGTCACTTCGGGACAGATTTTTAAAGGTATTTAGGTCCCTAAAGATGCAGATAGGGACAAAGTTTGATTTTCAAAAGTGCCTAGACAATTAACTCCCACTGAAATCAATGTATGTTTAGGTGTCTAAGCACTTCTGAAAATCCCACTAGGCACTTCTCTGTACCTTTAGGTGCCTAAAGACCTTTGAGAATCTGGTCCTTAATCTCTCTGTGCCTGTTTCTCCACTGTAAACTGGGGATAATACTCCCCTACCTCACAGGGTGTGACAAAGATACATTTGTCTGTGTGGTACTCAGACAGTACTGTGATGGATAACAGTGGTGTTAAGTATGCAGAATTCATTACCATAAGAGATCACAGAATTAAATACTGGAGCTAAATTTTTAAAAGGAGCTGGATAATTTTAGAGCCAATAACATTTATATTTATACATTCTAAAATGGGGTAATGACACTTCATGATCCCAGGCATCAGCTGATCTAAGCAGAAGTTAGAGAAGTAAAAATCCTTCCTTCATATAATACTGCACAGTTGACCAGGTACACAACTGTGAGACGCCAGAACTGGTGGGTATGCGTGTCTGCTGGCTTGCATTACTGTTCACTGAGATTTATACAGACCAAGAATTTATTTTAATTCTTTGTTTTATCTGTTTTTCCTCTCAAATAAACTACAGTTTATTTAAATGCAGCTATGATTGGGACTCATCTTTGTTGATGGGGGTACGCCTGCTCTTTGTACATCTAAGAACTATGGATCTTTTTTGCCCAAGGTGTGGTTAAATGATCTGTGGGCCCGACAGTTAGCAAAAAGGGGCTCAAGAGCGGTTGCAGTCTCTACCTATGACCACTGTTACAATTGACCAGCTTGAAAAATTCAAAGTGCAACTGTTTGGGAAATGTATTTTACCCTGCAGAAGGCTCAACAAGTTCAGTACTGAAGAGACGCCCATCATAATAAACAGAGTATATTTCAAGTAGCACCTAAAATGTGCCACATGCTTTCCATACAGAGAAAATATAGGCCCGGCCCTGAAGAGCATAGAAATAAAAAAGGGTAGCATATAGTGCCTTGTTCTTTGATTGTAGGTGGTTCAGTTGTTTCATCTAATATATGATGTCCTGAGAAATCCATTTCTTCTGATTGAGCTGACACCGTTGGAGGTGCTCCTACAGGTTCAGCTATTCTTTCTTCAGGCTAAAAACAAAATAAATTCCCAAACAATTGCTTAGCAAGGAAGTAAAGCAGACATATTTGATCATTATTTCTGAGAAAAGTCTCACCATATAAAATGAATAAATAGGTTTGTTCTACTTCAGAGCAGAAATAAACCTGTTATATTTATGAATTGCAACTAGAGTCTTGGTTTTCTTCCAAATAGTACTTTTTTGTGCACTTGTTCCTAATAATGCCTAATTCTTTCGAATGCGTTTTCAGTTACTGCTAAAAGGCAGGTAACAATACAATTAACATTTACTAACAAGCAGTATTTGCACATGGGTACATTACAATCAAGCTTTTTTCTCTTTAACTGCTGTTCTTTCTTAAATACCTCATTTCTGTTTGGCAGGAACCATCTCATTAATTTATAGCAATATGGTTTTAATATGAATTCCATATAAGATGTATGAAAGTTTCAACTAAGTTCTCCTGAAAGGCTAGGAAACAGATTTGAAATCCAGATCCTCTGGGCTCGGGAAGAGAAATTTGGCACAAGTCTGGAGAGGGCACAGGTGGCACGAAGCCACCATAGTGGCCTCTTGGTCCTGGAGCTGGCAAGTGCCAGCCCTATCCACAGAGGTGGCAGTCTGCTCTGCCTTCTGCTGGCTGCCCGTGGGGTTAGGTAGATGTAGGAGCACACCTGCCATAGCACATACACAGGGCTTGTCTATACAAACGGTTAATTTGTGGCAAGCTGGGATGTAAATCTACCTTGCCATGCACTAACTGTCTGTGTGGACCCTGCTGACATGACTAAAATTTCCTTAGTACACTTTAATCTACACACTTTATAATGAGAGTAGACCAAAGGGCATTATAGAACTTTAGTGCATGGCAGCAAGGTCCACGTGGACAGTTTGTGCATGGCATATTAGTGTGAGGTAGAGTTACACCTCAGCTTGCCATGCACTAACTGTTCACAGAGGCTTGAGACAGAGCTGGCTCTGTGCCACCAGAGGATTGCCCTACTCTGTCCTCCACTGGCCAATTAAGCAAGGTTTAAATGTGATTTGTGTTACCATAGCAACATGGAGCACATGCAGTGGGCCAAAGAATCTGGCAGCGATGCACACAATGGTAATAAGGCATTTTAACATATTTTGCTACACGTGTAAAAGAATGGAATTATGCCTAGAACATCTTTAGCCTGATATTATCCTTCTGTTTTTATGTATATACAAGAGGGAAAACCCTTCAAAGAAGTTTGCTGTGTTTCATAATAGAACACTAGAAATAAGGTTTAAGGCCCTTATCCAGGAAAGCATCCCTATTCAAGATAGCACTTAAGCATGTTCTCAGGTCTCACTGAAATCAATGGAAACTAAGCACATGATTCAAGTTCAATATGCACTATGATGCTGTCCTCATTTTAAAAAGAAGGACAGTGACAGCACAGAGGGGAGGACTGAATACTAAGCCCTGGGGGCAGGGACTGTTTTTGTTCTATGTTTGTACAGCACCTAGCACATAGGTACTCTAGTCCCCATTGGGCTATCACAATACAAATCACAATTATGATTGGTGGGTGCAGATTCTGCTATTTCCAGATTTGAGTCTTACTACTGATGGTAAAAAAATAAGATAAAATAAAATTGCTATTGAAGGCATCATGGCTTCACTGCAGTTACTTGTAAAGCTCTGAAGAAACATAGGGTATGTCTACACTGCAATTAAAAACCCGTGGCTGGCCTGTGCCAGTTGACTCAGGCTTGTGGGGCTTGGGCTAAGGGGCTGTTCAGGTTTGGGTTGGAGCCTGGGCTCTGGGACCCTGTATGGCGGGAGGGTCCCAGAGTCTGAATGTCTACAGTTCAGTTAAACAGCCCCTTAGCCCAAGTCAGCTGGCACAGCCCAGTCACAGGTGTCTAATTGCAGTGTAGACATACCCATATTTGTTTTAGGAAGTCAATTCTGACTTGCAATTTCTTTCAAAGCTTAAAGAACAAAGGATAACTGAAGTCTTGTTCACTGTGGGCCAGATCCAACTCCCAATGAAGTCGACAGGTGTCTTTCTATTGATTACACTGGATTTCAAACACCTTCACTCTAACATATTACATAAATTTGTGTTCGCTCCTTATTTTCTCTTTTCCTTTACTTTTGTATACCTTTTTTGTGATATACTCCAACTATTCATTGGAGCCAACAGCTAAAAGTACCCTTAAATATAATCTGTTGATTGGAATTATAATAAACCTAGACTATTAAGCTTTGCCATGTTTTAACATGCAGTACAGGACTTTGTGTATATAAATCCTTTAATAATGCTGGATCTTGATGCCTATGCCTCCTGCAAAAGGAGCAGATATTTTTTCCTCTAAATACAGTCTCCAGTGACTTTCCTCTTCTGCTTCTGTATAACCAATACTACACAGAAACAATAGATAGAAAAGGACAATCCCTGGCTTTGTTCAATTATTGGTATCAAATGTTTTACATTAATGTGAAGACAAATTAAGCAGAGGAAAGATTTACATAAAACATTTCCTTTTACTAATGTTAAATAATAGATAACCTTTAATAAAAGGAAAAGAAAGTGATCTTGGTAATTCCACTCCAAAATCTCACTTCCTTCCCGAGAAAGATAATGGGAAAAATACTGAGGGGAAAAAATGGTTACACATGCAAAAGATAATAGAACAGTGAGCAGTAAGCAGCACACTGCATGTTAATAAAAATAAAATCATGCCACGTAAATTTGATTACTTGATAGAATTACAGGGATTAGTAGATAAACAGTAAACCAAATATACTCTGATTGGATTTTAGCAAAGCATTTAACAATCGCCCATGAAATCTCTCAAAATTAATCCACACAGGAGCACTGTCAAGTAAAAAGAAAACTGGCTGAAGAACTGTATGCAAAAGGTTAATGATAAAGAGCAATATACTGAGCTGGGAGAAGGTGTATGGTGTGGGTCACATGGATCTCTGTGTTAGAATCATATATTCCCTCTGCATACACGCACTCTACCCAAGTACAGGGAAGAGGGATCGCTTTTTCGGGAGGCACATAGATGGAACAGAAGGCAGCCCCTCTGTATGTGTTCTGTGGGGATATGGACGAAAGGGTGGGAGTGGTTGCAGCAGAACATGAGCTGCATTCCCTGCAGACCCAGTGAATTTCCATGTATAAATCTGGACAGAAGTCCACAGAGGTTGGAGCTGGGTTAACTCCCTCTGTGGCTCCTACTAAGCAGGCAGCCAAAGAGGACAGGCAAAGGCAATAGCAACCTGGCTGCTGCAGCGGGAGAGAAACTACAGGATCTGTGTGGAAGGGCAGCCATGCTTGGACAGATCCTGTGCCCACACCTTCTGTTGGGTCCCTTCAAAGTGGATCTCCAGGATCTCTGTGGTTGGGAGATCTCACTCACAGCAAAGCTCCACAGCCCTACAAAACTCTCTGTCTGGAGGGGTGATTCCCAGGAAACTCCATGAGCTCACAGTTTTCTGTCTCTGGAAACTCACGCACGAGTTTCTCTGTGGGAGGAGGTTTTCTGGCCTTTAGAATGTAGAGAAGGAAAAGGCCTGTTAGGTCATCTAGCTCACCTCTCTGCCAGTCCAGAATGGTTTGTTATTGCACATTTAGGACCCAAATCTACAAGGTAATGGGCACCTCAAATGAGGTGTGCTGAGGACTCTCCTCTCCCAATTAAGTTCAGAAGGCATTGCTCAGCACCTCACAGAAGTGGGTCCAGATATCAATGTGCCAAGTAATAGGGTTTCCAACACTTCCCTTGGGAGAATGCAACATAGAAATATTTCATGGCTGTAACAGGGTGTATGGGACTGGGGCCTTAGGTGCCCAGGGAGCATTCAGCCCTCTTCAGTTATCAGACACAGCAGGAATGGGACAAGTGGTCCCTATAAAGAGCTGAGAGAGCTCAGGTGGAGAAGAGAGCTACAGGAAACAAGTGGGATCCTGTAGCAGGCCCTGAAGTGGGGTAAGAGGTGGAGGGAAGAAAGAAGGTACCAGGGGAAAGGCTTCTGAGCTCCTGTAGCCTGTGCTGATCAAGGGAATAGCTTTGTTTTGTGTGAATTGAGAGTTTGTGTTTCAATTAATAAACCATGCCCTCAGGCAATGGCCTGAAAGAGACTGAGATGTGGCAATAGGTTTTTCCTGGGCTGGTGAGGGAGCTTACAATGATATTCAACCTAAATATTCTGTTTCCTTACTTCATCCCATTATTCTCATTTACACTCCCTGTCAACACTAGCGTTAAGTGCTCCAAGCACCCTGACTTCTGCCCATTCGTTAGGCAGAAGTATAACTAATTCCCAAGGAAAGTGGTGGATGGTGTATTTGAAATGAGAGTAGACAGGACTCTAGAGAATGTGCTGTCGGGAGAAATCCTGCATTGTCAGGGAGATGGACTAGATGCCCAGCAGGTCTTTTCCAGCTCTAAACTCTAGGATTTATTTAATCCTTGTTCAGAACTATAGTACATTTTCCCCACGAGACAAAGGCATTTCTGGAATTTATTTTTTGCCACCTTCAATATTACTTCCTAAGGACTAGACTGAAGCTTTACATCCCTGCCCCAGGAAGGAACTGTGACTCAGGGAAGCTGCACCTGGGGAAGAGTAATTTTACTAAGGCATTTTAAAGGATGCAACAGACTCTTCCTTTGCACCAGCCAATTCTCTACCCATTGGCATTCTGTCCCACTTCTTGCCCACCTGCATGTGAGCTGGAGGGAGAGAAGAAAGCAATGGCGCAGCACAGCCTGCTCTCCCCCAGTGCACAGAGTGGCAATTCAGGTAAGTGTGTGCACGTGCATGGCACTTATGTCCCCTTGTCACAATCTTGCCCTGAGTCTCTAATTACAATAGCTATGTTGCTATTGTTGTTGTTTTCCTTAAAGAAAACGCCTTTTAGTAGATTATGCATTGTATTCCTGATTAAATAGGACAATCCACTACAGGCTGTCAAGTATTACACATATACATGGCCCAATGTATATTTTATGAGCCCTGAATTGATCATCATCATTTACGTTTCTGTTTATGAGCGTTTTGATTACAAGAAATGAATTGTAAAGTTGGCAAAACACATTTGGAGCATTTGTTTCTATATTTTAAATTCTTATGGCTTTGAATTTAAGAAAAGAGAGTGAATAGTATCAGAACAGGGAAGAGCCAACAAGTTAGGCCCAGCATTAAAGCATAAATGGAAAGTATCTAGAAAACTAACTGATTATCTAAAATTATATAGTACAAAAATAGAAATGAATCCAATCAAAAAATAATGATCCCTAATATTCCTTCCATTTCCTTCAATCCCATTCTCACATTTGGCAGCATTTAATTATTAGTTTTAGGGACTCCTCTCCCTTCCCCCCATGATTCCCACAGATAAATTCTGCCAATGCTGGTCACCGATTGAGTAAATTATACCAGGGTATCCATAATTAACTCCCTTCAGAGTGGCAGCTCTTCTAGAAATGAGCCATCTCTCTTTCCTGATGATTCCCTGTGCTGAAAAACTATGTGCAAGCTGATGAATGGAAATGTACTGAAATATCCCAAACAGTTCAATCTATTGTTACTGCATAGTACAGTAGAATTTAGCAGACTACCAGATTATGCATCCTTGGCACAAATAAGATTCTTCAATCAGCAGCTATATTGTCAGTTATGACCCTGGACTTTTTTCATTCCAGACTAGCCTGGGAATGTACTTTGAATTTCTGATCTTGGAGAGTTTGCTTGGCAATTTGTAATAGCATTACATGAATACAAACTTTTTCAGAAGCATCTATCAGTGACTGTATTGATTATTATATTGTTATTAGTCTGTTTATGTCCCTTCTTTAATATTTCTAAAAAAAAAGGCACATTACAAATCTATGGACATTCACACTGGAAAGCATACATATCCAACGAGTCACATTTAGACATTTCACATTCGGCAAAAACCCATAGCTTTTTTTAAAGGCAACATAAAGCTTACAAGTTACACTGGTGCTTCCTTTTTGAAGTTTAATGACATTATTGTAACACATTTTAAAAAACACTAAGTTATGTATGTTGCCTAAGAAAGAACTTTCACGTGAATTCTTACAGTTTAAGGGAAATGAACATTTATAAGCCCTCCAGGATTATGATTGTTTGGCTCAGAAACCTATGCAACGTAAAACATGGGGTGATTATCTCATACAAAGAGCCTTACTGTAGCTGTAACTAGGACTTCACACAGACTCTCTTTGTTTCAAGGCACACTAAAAAAGACAAACCATTACTGAAAAAGTGAATGTAAAATGAATACAGATTGTATAGATGCTGCTTGCTTTCAAGGTTTTAAACAAAATCCTTCTGAAGATTCATTCTCCATGTTTGCTATATTAGCATAATATTTCCATCTGAAGAGAAAGCAGCAGCTTTGCAATTCTAAAAAAAATATTTTCTCTTAGCCTCAGTTACCTTTCCAGTGTACAAACCACATTCAGAACAACAGAAATAAATAACAGAATATCAGTGCATGTGAGTGTTTTATGGAGACGGATTTGTGGAAAAATTGAAAGAGTGACAAGTAAATTAGAAAAGGAGTACTTGTGGCACCTTAGAGACTAACCAATTTATTTGAGCATAAGCTTTCGTGAGCTACAGCTCACTTCATCCGATAAGTGAGCTGTAGCTCACGAAAGCTTACGCTCAAATAAATTGGTTAGTCTCTAAGGTGCCACAAGTCCTCCTTTTTCTTTTTGCAAATACAGACTAACACGGCTGTTACTCTGAAACAAGTAAATTAGAGATATATTGAAAAGGTTTGCAATGGTTTAGTTGTGCCCATGTATGTTGCTGTCCCAAAGGGGCCCACAGGAAAGTGAAATAGTTTGCTCCCTCTCCCCCAATTAATACCAACCACAGCTTCATCATTCCTATAATACAGCCCAGTAGTGCTGGAATTGTCACTTCCCTTAGCACTGATTCTTAATTACCAGCTTCTAGTTTATTGCAGGCCAGGCTACAGAGCATTCAAAAAATCACGCACTACATTAGAAGATATGACTTTCCTGTACTACTCTGACAATGTTAAACCTTGACATGATCTTTCCACAGAGGTTTCCTGTCTAGTGCAGTGGAGGTCTCAGAAGCGTGGTACAAGGGAATAGGTCACAGTTTAGCTGCTTGATAAATTTGTGAACGTGGGCATATACTTGACCCATGGGTAGTAACTGTTTGACTTCTAGTTCCCCTCTTATGATATAAGTTAGAATTACATTGCGAGCACATCTCAAACTGCAACTTTCTACTCAAGGGGAGAATGCAAACTCTTTACCTGTTCCTTAAAAGTATATACAAACTACCTTCCTTTTACTTAGTAAGGACAGTACATCATCTTTGCCTTTTTAACAGGTTATTTTTAGACATGTCACCTGACACATATTGCTACGGGTTACCCAGAAAAAAACAACAACAATCTACTGGCAAGAGATGTTTCCATGCCATAGCACTGCAGCATGGAAGTCACTATTCTACCAAAACTCCTCCTGAAGCACAAGTGGTAGCCAAAACCTTCCACTTGGTTTAATGCCAGGCCAAATTACTCCTTTAAAGAAGTAGCACGCATATGATCTGCAAAATGGTGTGTTCTGTGGAAACTTGGAAGTGATAACGGAAAAGTCAAGGTAATACATAGGACAGTCTACAAAAACAGTATAGCTTAGTACTGGAAAAATGTTCTATTTTTCTTATACAAGAAATAACTTTTCTCAACATTCTGGTTCATTCTATACCGAAGCCAGATCCCTGGGTCTCGGGCACTCCTTGTCCTCTTGTGTTGCAGACAAAGAAGAATACCTTTATTCTGTGTTTTCAGGAAGAAATTAAACTGAATCAAAGAAAGAATCACTTTGCAACTCATGCTTTATGATACTCTGCATCTCATCAAGCTCCTGATATGGCCAGAGTAACATGGGGGAGTGGGGGCCCTCAGGACATTTGACCACTCTTCTTATATTAATTCTTTTTAATGAATTATAGGGTGTCTTAATACGGGCAAGAAATACATTCCTTCTTTCATCAGGTCTCCCAAAGAGTAGAGGGTGGAATAAGGAGCACTAGGGGTGGAAGGTTATACAGTGTACTGTGAATGAGGTATGGATACACAGTGAATGATATAAATCCTGCAGATCTATGCCGAATTTTGGCCATGGTCTATATTCAACTACTACAGTGCAATTCTGGACTAAATCCAGATTTATGCTGATGTAAATGAGAAAAGATCTGAGCCGTATGTTGACAAGATAGGCAGCATGTAATAAGTGAACAAGGCAGGAGTCCACTCACTGAACAGTCAAGATAGATTTTAAAAGTACTGAAACAAAACACATTAGGTCAGCTACTTATCACCTGGCATCAAAGTGGGTTATACAATGTTGTGGAGACACTTAAAAAAAGGGCATGAGGGGAAAATGAGGATAGGATCCTGCAATACTGTCTTGTAAACCTATATGATAAGAAAACTTCAGAGAAAAAAGTCACTAAGTCACACTCCTTCCACATGGGCTGCTCCAGGAGCAGCATAACAATGTGCTAACCTTTGCTTGGGGCAAATTTCTTAATTCACTATCAAGCCCGAAGGAAGCTGGATTTCCAAGGCCAAATTCTGCCTTTGGTAGGGTACGTCACTCTGATTGGCTTCAGAGGGTGCTGCAAATGAGTATCCAATGGCAGAATTTGCACCTCACTACTTAAAGTACTGGTAACGCAGAAAGGTCAAGTTGAATAATTGCTGACACTTACTAGGGTTTGAGAAGATGCAATGACTTCTTGTGTCTCAGGAACTCCTTCCTGCTCTTGAATGCTACCAGTGCCACTAGAATCTCCTGATGCCTACACAAAAGCAAATTAGGTTGAGTTTAGAAAATTCCAGAGTCAGAATGTTCTGTTCTAGCATGAAATAGCTCTTCAGATTCTTTTGTACTTCACTTTTCACTTGTAGTTATGTGGGGAAAATTAGTTATAGGTATTTCTCAGCAACTTAGCTCCAGTATTATTATGAAGTAACTTATTTCAGTATTTAAAGTGGAGTATGGAGATGAGTATATTAGCAAAATGAATATCCCCACTCAAGGACTCAAAGGTGATGGAGACTAAAGATTGGGAAATTCCTTGAAGATTCTGGCTTCCAAGGGGCACAGCACAGAACAAAGCACACCAACAAAGCACTTTCAAGCATTTCAGAGTGTTCCAAAGAAGAGAGACTACCATTTGTTTTTTTAAGGATCCAAGGGTGTGGGTCTAGAATATTGGGCTGTAGGGGACCCTGGATCTCTGACACTCCCTTTTTGCCACCAAGCGAGCTGGATGAAGCAGCATCTCTCTAAACTTGAAAGGCCAGGCCCCATAGGAAGTCCAGTCGGAGCTCCCAAGGCCTACAGCTACCTGACTGGCTCACACCCGCTACTTAAGCTAGGAAGTGAGCTGGGAGGACAGTCCAAGCAACTGTGCAAACTTTCTGCTGCTTCTGCCACGTTTCACTCTACTCTTGCCTGCCTCCTGCAATCTGTATCTAACCCTGTTCCTGAGTCCTGCTTTGCTGCAGACCTGTTCCTCATTCCTAGCTCCCACTTTTCTCCTATTCCATGCCTGATCCCTGCCTCTCTCTGATTTCTGCCCTTTCACTTTGCTCATGACCATTGGCTACCAACCCTAGCTGACCTCCAGCTCTGACTTCTGACTCCAACTCTGGTTTAACCCTTGGGTCTGTCATTTGGTATCTGGCCTTGGCTTCGATTCTCAGCTTCGATTTCTGGTCCTGACTCTGGCTGGACCCCCTAGCTCCCATATTTGGCAGTTGATTCCAGCTCTGACTTCTGCTTCTGCTCCCTGACCTGGACACCTGCTCTGCCCACTAGACCTGACATCTGCTCTCTGACCACTAAGAAAGACTGCCTAGATCCCAGCTCCTGACAGTTTTGTTAAAAAAGTGCTATTGTAATTCAAATCCTTGGCACAGAACCACTGAAAACAGATGGAGAGGTGTGCGTGTGAGTACTCACATATGGGTCATCATCTTCACATTGGTCTTCAGTAGCCCTTGGGTCAGGTTTGATCATTAGTTGTTGAATCGACCCCTACAATAAATAACAAAAGCAGTTCAAGAAAGTGTTCTCTTCAAATGACCTTTATGAAAGCATGGTGGGGAAAAGGACAGACTGGACTCTGTTTATTTTGGAAAATTATCTAAAGCATGAAGTTTGGCTAGGAACACACATGGCCTTAAATATTAACAACCACCACCACAGAAGCTGGGAAGTTGTTGGAGATCCTCATCAGCTGTAAGGAGCTTGATGGCCCAAAACATAACCCGAAGGGTCATTAATTAAGCCGGATAGCAATCTCTAAAAAAAAAAAATGCCCTCTGCTGAGATTATTATTGCTAATAGATGGTGAAAATTTAAAAAAAATTAAGGAATTGTTATTGGTGGTGCAGTTTCCATTGGTATGTACAGAGCGCTTCCAGAGAATTAATTCCCAGTACATTGGCCAGATTACTTAAACCATATTTCAATATCTCATTCAGTTTATAAAATTTGTTATATAATTTATGAGTTTGTTACTAGGATAATAGTGGATCTGGGTGAGTTGCATTATACGCCTTGTGAAATGTTGAGGAAAAACAGCCGAACTGCCACAGATTTATTCAGATTTCTCTTCAATAACTCATCCTGGCATTTAATCGGTCACTTTAAATCATTAGAATAATACATTTTACATATATTTTAATATTGTAAATTATAAACAAATCAAATAGCTTGTCTAATTTTACCAACAAAACGTAATCTTGTTTTAAAGCAGTAGCAACCCAGAGATAGCACAGCAATGTGAGTTACTAAGAACAGTGGGAAATGGGAAAAGTGTATTTCTTTAGCACATGAAATACTCAAAAACAGCTGAACCATATTTTCCTCAAGAACTTTCCAAACAAATGTCCCTTTGGACTGAAAGCAAGCATGGAAAACTTCCGCTCAAAAGAAATATGCTTGCCAAAATTTATGAGCTGCTGAAAGATGGGTTAAGAAAGAGAACATGCAGTAACGTACATGCTCTAATAGAAAAATCCATTCAAAAGGTATACTTAAGTACTTAATCTGACTATATGAAGACATGTAAAATGTGTGCACAAAGCAAAGGAAACATTGCAGAAGTCTAACAACTATGTTAAACGCTTCATGGAAACATGCACAATATTCCTCTGCACTCTAGTTTTGGGTTCAGAAAGAGTATGCAACTGGGCAACTTCTGAGACAGTATTTAAAAAATATATTATGCTCCCTACAAGTACACGCAGTGGTGTGCTATATATTCAAAATACTTAACCTTAACAGTTTACATTGTTAAAACTACCTTTAAAGAAAATTAGATTGCATTTTCAAACCTGGAGGTTTCAAATTAAGCACCCACACCTCTAAAAATCAGGCCACTCATTTGGGTTCCTAAAGCCAGGCAGCTAAGTTTGGATATGGGGCCCTACTGTACACTTAGAAGCCTGAAGAACTGTTATTTCAGCCCATTTCTACCCTTTGGAAGACAGCAAAGCAAGCACTGGGTTTTAGGTGTCTCCCCTAGAGAGAGGAGCACAGTCTCTCACAGTGGAGAAGCCTATCTCCCTGCTGCCTCCAGGCTTGCAGCAGTTTGTCTCTCCTCCCCCACAACCCCTAGGAGAGAGATTTTAACAGGTTTCAGGTAGCCCTTAATTGGACTCAGGTGTCCCTAACTGACCTGAAGTAACCTCTTCCCAGCTTGTACGGAAAAGGGCCTTTACCATTCTAGGGCTAACATACCTGTTTTCCCAGACCCTCTTGCAGCCGTCCGGCCTGACTTTGTCACAGTACAGAAACATCTGAAAGTTAGCCACCACAACGTACAAATAGTCCAGCAGTTATCTGGACAAATGAAGGTGAGGGGGCACAACGGAGACCCAATCCTGTGCCACACTAAGGGAAAGGAGCTCCAGACACGTTATAAGAGCAAAAAGGACAATAATAGTACCTCTAGGAGAGCTCTCAGGGTCTGTGGCTACAATGCGGGGCTGGACTGTATATTTGGGAAAGATGCCACCACTGAGCCATTGCATTGTGTGGATACCACCAAGCAGTGACCAGGACACCAAGCATGAGGACTTAAACCTCACTTCTTATCGCCTTGCGGGACAGAAGTAGACCCAGTCCTGGAGACCCCAGAAGTTGACCAAATCACAGTCACAGCACCCACAGGAGGAGAACCAAATTGCAGGGGGAAAGGGAGACACATCTAGTAAGTATTGTAAGATATTTTTATAAAAAAGTTTATGGGAAAGGGGTTTTAAGCAACCTAGTTCCAGGTACCATAAGGGTGCCGCCATATTTGTCTACAATCACTCTGCCGCCTGAGCTTTTGTTCCCCCACCCTTTGCTCAAAATGGCAGCCGCAATGAAGGATGTACAAGTTCTCCTGCCTTTTGCTCCCCACTCCCCACCTTTGCTAATACACAACCACCAGTATCTTGCGGTCTCCTTTCCTACAAACCTTGGGTCTGCCTAGGGGGGCCAGAAGGTCTCTTGATTCATCTCTCCACTCTTCGTATACTTTGTGAAGAGCAAGGATCTGAGTTGCTAATTGGTAGTCTTACAAGATGCCAGTAAGGGCACAGCAGGTTCTAGGGCTCTCCATGCAGTAATATAAGGCTCTACTTATGAGTCACTCAGGGGAAGCTAGAACCCTGTAGAGAGAGGAAGTTATTTTTGCTGACTCACTCTAATATCCAATCAGCTGAGTCCTGTTACAGTAGCTCCAAGTGCCTCTCAGAGAACAGAGCTAGGAGCAGGAACAGAGGGGTCTTGCTGAGAAAAAAACTTCAAGAAGATCTGAGATCAGTAGAAACCGTAGGCTGAGCATTATGTATTGCTGTTGTTGTTATATAACAATACATGCAGACTCCAGGGTAGGAGTCTACACACGTCTATACTATGCTGCCTCTGAGCTTCCAGCCCACTGTTCCCTCTGTGCTACTGCTCCCATGGTGAGATAGGAGTATACTTAAGGGAAAGCTTTCCAAAGTACTGTTTCTGTTGGCTGCCATTGTGAGCAGTGGGAACACTAGATAAATGGAGGTAATAAGTAATAGTGTTGAGAGAGATGGGAGCAGCAGGAGAGAGTGATTTGACATGTGTGTTGGTTGGCAGGGAGAGAGAAGGTGGAGTCATTGAAAACTCCCTGCATGCATATTGATGTTGCCAGTGGGCGCTGGAGGGTGGGTGGGGGTAGTGTACTATGCTCTTTTTGGGAATAGCAACAAGGGACAGTGCTGTGTGTATACACAATGCATATGCCAGGATAGGTCAAGCACTCTCCACTAGGCTTTTCAGCTTCTCCCACAGTATGCCTTGCAACAGTAGGGCTAACACAGTGGAGCATCAAAAATACATGCATATGCCCAGGGTACCTCACTACTGAGCAAAAGTTTTGGCTTGGTAAAATGGGAGTGGATACAACCAGGATTTGAACTGGGCTGAATCAGTGATCCAGCACTCTTTTGAGGATGCTTCTAGCATCTGAGGGGGGGGGGGGGCGGTATTTGTTTGTTAAAGTCCCTAGCCCTTATGGTTTCAAAGGAAACCTTACCAAGGTGAAACAAGTGCAACCAGCGCAGCAATTTGCAGAGGCCTGAAACAATAGCTGAGAGATGTGTGACCTCTCCCATTCCTCTCACTGCCTGATGATGGGCAGTTCAGCTATCCAGTGATTATTTACTCTTTCATTGTGAATCATGTAAGAAAAGAGAGGGAGGATCACACACCTGCACACAGTATCAAGAGCAGCCTCTCATTCTGGTGCCATGACTGGAAGTTGTTTGGCAGATACCACCATTTCCCTCCCCGCATCTGACCTCTGGAACCAAAAGGCCAGGGGAGCAAAGTTGAGCCCTCCCAAAGTGAAGTCAATTCTGCAGAGCCTAGCCACTACCTCCAGCCAAGTCGCCCAGCCTGGGGAGTGGTGGCAGGTCTGCCTCAGTGGAGAGTGTGGGGCCAGGCAGTTTCCTCCTTGGCGCTAAAGGTTGCAGCTCCCACATCTGCTGCAGCCCTTCTGCAGACTCAGGCAGACATACACTCAGCTCATGTTTTCAAGCTTTTCTTTGCAATCATGAGGGCCAGAAACAATTGTTCCCATGAGAGCTGAGATTTTGATCTCATCACACATCTCTGGAGCCCTAGACACATGTCTGTTATGCCCATCATGGATCTGAATCCCTCTGAGGGGTAAACAAGCCTGAGGAGGCCCACAGAGCATAAGGGATCATATTTTGGACATTTGCATCATCTGCCGTGAGTGGTGTCTGATTTCAGCATCTCAAGAGGCTGGAAGCTGGCTTGTGCCCAGAGTGAGGAAGAGAACCACCGCCTTCTTTTTTCCAGCTTCAGCAAGGGGTGCAACTCAAATGGAACTACAACATTCAGTGTGAAAAAGAAGTTGAGGACGAAAGGCGTTTTATGGCCCATGCTAACCTGTACTTCCATAGTCAAGTTCACAAATGCGATACCAAAGTAATCAGGATATCTGCTGAAATTCACATAAGCCTAAATTTGTTTCATGTTGTTTTACCATAATTACATGACAAAACAGTGTGCAACTGCGTATTTTTATTGAAAAGATGCCCCCTCGTGTAACCCATTATAAATTTCTATTGAGCATAGATACAAACTACTGTACTGTGGAAATCACCAATTCAGTCTTTGCCTAACCTTTCAAACTCGGGTGCCTAAAGCTAGGGACCTTAAGCAAAGTAGCCTGATTTTTCTGGATTCCCATAAACAAACCGACTTAATGGGACTGGTTGCATGAGCCAGGACAGAGAAATTTGGCACTCAGATTTATATAGATATATATTTTTAAAGGTGCATTAGATCTATAGAGATCTCTAGTACAAATTAATGCATTAATGAGATCCCTCCAAAGTCTGATTCAATGCCCATTTGAAGTCAATGCAAAGACTCCCATTGACTTCGATGAGTACTGGATTAAGTCCATGGCGATGATAAGTGGATAAATTACCCTAGATACTAGCACTGGATGATCAAAAGAACAGCTATTATTATTAATAAACTATTATTTGGTCACTAGCTAGTGACAAATAATAAATAACGAGAGATAAATGTAGCGCTAGAAGTGCAGGGGCAATGCTTGCTAACCTTAACTAGAGTCACATGCATGTTTTGAGGGAAGACTATGCTGCCCCTTAAATTGTAATTTTTGTTGTCTGAAGTTGAAATGTTCTGATTCTAAGTACAAGTGCATCTTCCTATTGCTTACCAGATGGAGCTCAAGATCTGCTACTACCAATGGGTTTAGGAAGGTATTTCCTGTTTTTCTGAAGCAAAAACTTCAATGAAAATTGGCACTGTTGCTTAATTAGTTTATTGGGAAAGATATTACTCTCCCAAATTATTATGCACCACTTGAAGTAACTGGAGACGTAAAAAGAAGACAAAACAAAAAACCTGATGTTTTCATTTTGACTGGGTGCCGAGTCAGGCTTTTACATTTTGACAGATTTCAGTTTGGAAGTTGACAGGCTGAGAATTCCAAGCTAGTCCCAGCAGGAAGCTGTTTTTAATCAGGCTGATGAGGCATGGAAACCTCGTGCTAATGTTTAAGTCTATTCCATGTCACTGAACCACAACATAAGGTTCTAGCAGTATATAAACTGTAGACACAGCTTACATCTTGCATTGAAACTCTTGGTGTCTCTTGGTGGGCTGGTGGTCATGTAACTTACATGATCAGTCTGTTGCTAATGGTTAGCGGGGAATAAGTGTGTTCAGCAAATCACAGTTAAAAATGCGGTTACAGCATTAAAATGATACACTTAGAAAAAGTGAAACAAACCAATGCTCTAAACCAAACCTAATTACAAAGGGCACAGGAAGCCTCATGGTATATTTACATTGAGCCTTAAGAGATAAGCCTGGAGTTCGATGTTGAATTGTTGGCAAACATCAGATCATGGTCTAGAAAAAGTTGCACTCTTTTATATATTTGCTCCTTACAAACCCCAACTAGCAACCTTTCCTTACCTCTTCCAAAAACTTTCCACTCCCCTAACCTAGGGACCCAATTCCTAGGAGATTCTCCCTTTGGAAATTCAAGCTCATTAGATCCAAAACTCCAAGAAAAACTGCAGTCTTCCTTTGCTTCCAGTCCTGTCAACTGGACTTGCAGAATCCGTGTTGCAAACCCTCTGTGAACCAAATCCTGCAATGGTCATAGACATCTAGAGCTGACCAAAATGATCATGAATATATTAATGTTGTCTCCCGCCACATTTCTAGTCTATTCACACTGTGACTCTCACATGAAATATACCAAAAGATCTATAGAGTCTCATTCAGTATTCAATCTCTCTCCCTTTATATTGAGTATTGTGTATACACACACACACACACACACACACAAACACACACTCATGTGACTCTACACACACACACACACACACACACACAGAGTGTAAACGTTAATGTTACATCTGAACATGACAGAATTTGTTTTCCTTTTTTAAAAAATACTAGGAAGTCACATACAAAACCAAAAAGTTATTAAGGTTGTAAAGTCAAACACTCAGCAATCAAGAAATGCCCAAATTAAGGTTGCCTGGCAACCCTAATTTTGCCCACTGTGCAAGTGCATTTTGATACAATTTTAACTTATATGATCATATACTAAGTTCTCTACAGGACCCCTGCCTCGATCCAGGCACGTGTTGGGTGAGCTACAGCAAATAAGGCGGCTCAGTATTTCTTTCTATTTTCATCATTCAGTTTGTGGCTCTGTGCATAGGTGCTGGAACAATTTTTATAGTTTATAGTTTATAGGGGGTGCTGAGAGCCATTTAACCAAAACTGTTAGCCCTGTATATAATAGAAACCACTTCAAGAAACCTGCTTCCAGCACCTATGGTCCTGTGCCTTAATTACTGCACACCATCCAACCATTGTACCAAATAAGGAATTAATAATTTCCTCAATAGCTTTTCTATAGTTCTTATCATTGTATCATCTGATCCTCACAAACATTAACAAATTTACCTTCACAGCTCCCTTGTGAAGTGGGAATGTACTACTATTGCTAGTTTACAGAGGGTGAACTGAGCGCATAGACCAAAATTTGCCAACTAATTAAAGTCCACTAATTTTGGTTTTTTCGGTGACTGGGCACCTGACTGAAGACACCTAGGGGCTGATTTTTCAAAGTACTTAGCATTTTTACAACACTGTATACAATCACAGTATTGTACAAACATTAATTAATCCTAACAACCCCCTCATTTGAGGAGGAATACATTTTCTTATCCACATTTTACAGATGGGCACACTAAGAAAGAAGGCTGATGTGATTGAACAGCAGAGCCAAAATAAGAATTCGTGGCATCCTGATTCTCAATCTCATGCTTATTCCTTCAGACCACACTGTCTTTGTCAGAGGTATCAACCATCCACAGCTTCTACTGACTTCGTCCGTAGTTGAGTACATGGCACTGCTGCAAATCAGACCACTGGTGTCTCCATTCGGGCTCTCAAAATGAGGAACACAACTAATGGCCACTTGTGGCAATTTGGGCTTTAGTTACTTGCTCAGTATCACATAGGAACACTGTAGCAGAGCCAGAGATAGAAATGAATTCTCCTGTGTGACATTTACCTGCCTTAACCACAAGACCATCCTTTATCTGCCCACATTCCAACTTCTACAGCAAGAGGGCCTGCAGACAAGAGCCTCATTCCCTACACAACTCTGATTCACTCCCTGAGCACCATCCACCCTCAGCCCTTTATAATGTAGAAGTCCTATGTAAATGTTAGCATGTAATCACATAATTAAAGACCATTTCATAATGCAAACACACTAGTGGAGAGAATTAAGATTGCATTGACTTAATTCTAGCATTTCCTATATTTTTAGTGCATGACTTTGCAATCCCTAGCTTCAAAACACACATGCCTCTTTGACCACCTCATCTGCCATATCCATATCATCCAGGCCTACTGAGTAATTAAGTCATTCCCAGTTCGTGCCAATAAAATTGTCACTCCAAACCATATCATCATAGCTTTTTCATGTATCTGTACGTGTAAATGCATGTGTGGTGATATCCATTAAATAAAAGGTGAGCAGCATTTTCTTTCAGTACCAACTCAGTGGAATAACCTTGAAATCAAAATATTACCTTATATAATAGAAAAAAAGTATGTCTCCTGTGGTGTATGTAGTTGTCATTCTGGTTTTTGTGCTTGCTATGGGGCAATGCTGCGAGGGCAATTCAAGACAGAGGAGCTTATAGAATGAAAGGCACACTCTGCTTTCTCTCGTGGAGATGTTATACTTGTACTTTCTTTGTTAATTACCCCAAAATAACAGCAGTCTAGACTAAAGTATATGTTTTGCTCCATGTGTATGGAAAATACAGGATATTTCAGATGTGACTTCTCTTCATGCTTAGCCATTGCACTCAGAACTTCTTTGAAAGGAAACATCTATCAAGAACATTTAGAATCCATCATACTGTACTTACTGTGAATTTTTCCAATCCTGTTGCTCCTGCATTTCCAACAAATATACCAGAGTTGGATTCAAATTGCAAGGCCTGAGGTGACCTCTGAAACTGAACTCTGTTATATTCTTCACAGTCCATGAACAGAACAACGTCATTTCCCTGAACAGTCACTGTAAACCGATTCCATTTATTAGTCATCACTGGAACTTTAAATGAAGCGGCCTCTCGGGAGATGTAGGAACCAGGCTCTGTGTAGTACATGATTATTCTCTGGGTGCCATCATCAACTGGCGATAGTCTCATTCCCAAGTATATAGTTTTCTGAAAGGCATCCGTTATTGCAAATAGTACACCTCCATCATCGCTGTTTGGTTTTACTGTAACTATGATAGCAAAATCACTATAGAAGGTCTGTGGTATTAAAGTGCTTGTCAAACGGCCGATGTTAGAATCTGGTCCAAAACTGTAAGCTGGAAACCCTCCATAGCCAGTGATAAAGGAGACAGAAAGAGGGAGTGGAACTCCTATCAGCTCTGTCAGATCAAGATGACCCTTTGATCCTCGTTCTGTAGTATGAGACAAAAATATGTTATTTACTCCAGAGTCTATGTTTCATTTAACATTATATGGCTTAATGAAGTTACAATACGACTAATGTGCTAATATTTGAAATGCCTATTCAGCAAGGTTCTTGAGCACATGCCTAACTTTAAGCACATAAGAAATCTCATTGACTGACGGTACTACTCACATGTTTAAAGTTAGGCACACGTTTAAGTGAGCTGGGGAACCAGTTCTTCTGCAGGAAGCTCCTACAAAAATGTTCTCCTTTAGCCTTTCATAAACCACGAGTTACATGTACTTGCAGAGAGGAGATGAGAGAATGGATAATTTATTCCTTTGTTTTCTCAAATAAACAAAGATATTGTAACATAGCCATGATGAAGGGAGGAAGCAACAACTTGACACAAACAATGCAGTGGAGTTTTACAAATTCAGGATAAGGCTACAAGCTGAGCTGGGAGAATTTTTTTATATGAAACTTTTTTGTAGTGAAAAATGAGAGTTGGCAACATCAAAATGTTTTGTGAATTCATGTCAGTTTTACCAGATTGTTTTGGATGAAAAGCAACCTGGGAAAAAAACAAACAAACCCTGGGATCTTTTATTTTGACATTTTTTAAATGAAACATTTCAGTGTTTATGGTTCAAAATTATATTTTGTTTCAAAGCTTCCTTTTTTTAAAAAAGCCCTCTCCTGCACCGCAAATCCCTCATGCCTGGCCCCACACCAGAGCTCGCACCCCCAGATGGAGCCCTCATTCCCTCCCTCACCCTAACCCCATGTCCCAGATGGAGTCCCCTCCCACACTCTGAACCCCTGGGCCACACACTCCAGCCCTGGAGCCCCCTCCTGGATCCCAAACCTCTCATCCCCAGCCCCACCCCAGAGCCCACACCCCCAGCTGGAGCTCTCAACCACTCTAACACCCCAAAGCCCTGCCCCAGCCCAGTGAAAATGAGCGAGTGAGCGAGGGGATGGAGTGAGCTGGGGATGGGGCCTTGGACAAGGGGTGGGGCCTAGGGGTGGGGCAGGGGTGTTCCATTTTCTTCAGTCAGAAAGTTGGCAACACTAAAACTTTGCTCAAACACATATTACAAGGATTTCAGCTTTCATTTTACACCACTTTTGTCAGTTCAAGGAATGCTTTCTTCCATGGTTTCTTTGTATAGAAAAACATTCTTCAGTCGTTAAATCTCAGTTTGAAATCAGGGAATTTCCATTCCGTAACATACCCAGAAGTAATGGTCCCTGAAAATATGCCCTGGGAGAAAACTCCTCCTTGGTAGTCAGTTTTACATCTGAGTAAGTATGACCAGCATTGAGCATCTAATCCCATTTTTATTCACATTTTCCAGATTCCTTGTAAGGTATATTCTACCAATACTTCCAAGAACAGAGACTTCCAAATGCCTATCACCTTCTGAGAAATAAAACACTAAAAATATTATAGCATTTTTAATAACCAGGAATGTCTGGCTAATTCCACATGTGGCTTAATTAGAATCTAAGTCTTGATTATCCTGTTTTATGTATTTGTACATAGCAATAAGATCATACACTCCTCCTCCTTCACCTCCATAGCCTCCTCTTATCCTGAAAAATTTAAGATATCATTGTAGCTAAAACTCTCCATACCTTTGATCAATGCTTATCAGAACCCCCTCCAGAAGTTTTAAACTTCATAGAGGTAGGAGAGACAAAAGTCTTGTGCATGGATGTTTTTTAACATCCATGCACAATATTAAAATATTTTCTCTTGTTTTGAATGTAACACTCCAATTAATAAATCCTCAGATACTGTTGCTTTCTAAAACTGTACATGAAAGATGTGTCCCTATCTCTGTTACGACTAACTTGAATCCTTAAATTACTTTAATGATCAAGTATATACTGGCATACTCTATATTCCTGTTGTTTGTGAAACAATATATTATTTTATAATTTTTAGACCCCAAAATGAACCTTCATTCTACGTAAAAGGATAAATGGACACAAATCAGATATTAGGAATGGCAATATACAAAAACCTGTAGGAGAACACTTCAACCTCCCTGGACACACAATAGCAGATTTAAAGGTAGCCATCCTGCAGCAAAAAAACTTCAGGACCAGACTTCAAAGAGAAACTGCTGAACTTCAGTTCATTTGCAAATTTGACACCATCAGCTCAGGATTAAACAAAGACTGTGAATGGCTAACCAACTACAAAAGCAGTTTCTCCTCCCTTGGTGTTCAAACTTCAACTGCTAGAAGAGGGCCTCATCCTCCCTGATTGAACTAACCTCATTATCCCTAGCCTGATTCTTGCTTGCATATTTATACCTGCCTCTGGAAATTTCCACTGCATGCATCTGACAAAGTGGGTATTCACCCATGAAAGCTTATGCTCTAATATGTCTGTTAGTCTATAAGGTGCCACAGGACTCTTTGCCGTTTTTACAGATCCAGACTAACATGGCTACCCCTCTGATACTTGACTTCATTTTATATATGCTAATGTGACAGCCAGGATAATATGTGTCTCAGCCAAAGTGGCTGAGTGCACTCTACCTACATAGCTGCATGCTGCTAGCAAAGGGGAATCTGTAATAACCCAGGAGCTGCAGCAGGTGGTAACAGAGGTAGAGTTCACTTAAACTGGTAGTATAGACCAAGTCTATGTTTGTATAACTACATCACTTGGTTTTAGAGGAACAGCCGTGTTAGTCTGTATTCGCAAAAAGAAAAGGAGTACTTGTGGCACCTTAGAGACTAACCAATTTATTTGAGCATGAGCTTTCGTGAGCTACAGCTCACTTCATCAGATGTTTACCGTGGAAACTGCAGCAGACTTTATATACACACAGAGAATATGAAACAATACCTCCTCCCACCCCACTGTCCTGCTGGTAATAGCTTATCTAAAGTGATCAACAGGTGGGCCATTTCCAGCACAAATCCAGGTTTTCTCACCCTCCACCCCCCACACAAATTCACTCTCCTGCTGGTGCTAGCCCATCCAAAGTGACAAATCTTTACATAATGTGGAAAATCCACCCCCCTGAGTAACGTAATTATACCAACCTAATCCCTGCCGTAGACAGTGCTATGTCGACAGGAGGGCTTCTCCCATTGACATAAGTACTGTTGATCAGGGAGGTGGAGTACCTACGCCAACGGGAACAGCTTTCCCATTGGCATAGGTAGCATCTTCACTAAGTGCTACAGCGGTACAGCTTTTCTGGTGCTGCTGCAGCACTGTAAGTGCAGAGAAGTCCTTAGGGTCATAGAACAGGAAAGGGATCCAGTTTCTTGTCAGACTGAAGGGGGAAAGCAGTGATTCCTGTGTGTTTCTTTCCTTTTTCCTTCTTTACGGTGTAATAATAGTACCTTAAAATGCAAAGGCAGTGTGAAATGGTTAATCGGGCTTCTGTAGTTTAGATTAGTATTTGAACAGGATCATTTAGAAGCAAAAAGGAATGATACGCTAAGTTGAAGTAGTAGATCTTACTTTCACTGAACGTTTCGTATACTCAGAGGAATGAGCTGCATTTCTAAGACCATCTCCTTAACCTGTTTCTGAAGATGATCTACCTCTATTGTCACTTAAAGTATTAATAGTATTTTCAATAATTCCCCATAGACATTCACTTCTGACTAAGTCACCTCATGATTCAGACTACATGTGGGCATGAAGGACATAACAAACCAGCTGTGATGCAAGCAGACCAGGTGCCAGCTCATGCCAGAGCCCTAGGCCAATTCGCTTATATTAGTATAGATCAAAGTGATTGTTAAATGTATAAGTGTATTTGGTGTTTAAACTTCATGAAAACTAATGGGATGCTACTTGCATTTTCACTTATCTGTATCCCGTTATAATGTAGTATCAAACATTACATTGTAAATACTCTGTTATTAAATAACCCATCAAATGAGAAAGAAGCTTTGTGGAATGAAAATGAAGAACTTCAATAGAAAAGTGCTAATTTCAAAGCAAATAGTCATTGTGTATCATGATCAGAAGTCTAAGACTCAAAATGCATTCCTCACTCTGACATCAAATGCAAAGCCCACATGGGTAGTGACCCTATCAGCTTGGTTTTGATGAGAAGAAGCTATAAGTATGGATTCAAGGAAAGATCCTGCATCTCTGGACTGCTTGGACCCTTACAGGGAAGCTTACCAGATGCAGAATGGAGATCCCCAGAGACAATTTGGGTACCTTGAAAAGATTTGGGAAACCAGCAGCTTATTACATCATTGCCACCATTTGGAATTACAAACTGTGACTCACCTGTGCATATATTTTACTTGCTTTAACCTCTCAATAATTCTCATTTCCTTTTATTAGCTAATAAACCTTTAGTTAGTTTACAAGAGAATTGGCTGCCAGAGTTGTCTTCGGTGCAAAATCCAGAGTACCAATTGATTTGGTGTAAGTGACTGGTCTCTTGGGACTGAAAGCAATCTAAATTTGATGTGATTTTTTATGTAAGTGATCCTTTTATCACAAAGTTCAGTTTGCCTGGGTGGCAAGATAGACTGGAGAGTCTAAGGGGACTGTCTGTGACTCAATTGTAAGAGTGATATAGTGATCCAGGAGTTCACATTTGTTACTGGCTTAGTGAAATCTAATTACAGAACACACCATCAGTTTGGGGTGTCTGCCCTATTTTCTGACAGTCTGCCCTGAGCTGGGCACTCACAGTCGTGAGCCACTCCAGACAGCGTGACACCAGCCAACACATAGAATAGGCCATCACCTCAGCCAGTCAAAGGCCAGGACCAACCCCACCAAATTCCAAAACTTACTCAAGCGGCAACAACAGTTTACCAAGAGAGAGAGAAGCAAAAAACGGCTACTCACCTTTTTGTAACTGTTGTTCTTCATAGAATCATAGAATATCAAGGTTGGAAGGGACCTCAGGAGGCCATCTAGTCCAACCCCCTGCTCAAAGCAGGACCAATCACCAATTTTTGCCCCAGATCCCTAAATGGCCCCCTCAAGGATTGAACTCA